CTGGCTCTAAACCCAGAGACCTGATGAGCATCTCCCTACAGTGTCCTCTGTGACCTAGCAGTATTAGTGACTTTATACCTTCTTATTGATTTGCTCAGGGGAAGAGCCCAGGTCCCTGTGTTAGACTGCACCAAAACTTCACTGTTAACCCATGCACTACTACCCTGTCCAGTAAAATTTCACCTAGAGCACTCTGAGCAACAGGGAGGAGAGAAAACAATCATTTACTTCCTGGGCTCCTGTTACTTTATCTGGCCCTGCATCTGGTATCCAAATGAATAGCAAGGCCTTCTTTATCTTGAGAAAGGTTCTTCTTCTACTTACTCAAAATCAAGTTTGTTGATGAAAAATTCTGAGTCTCTCCAGTGTTGACAGTCAAGGGTGCTCTATATAAATAACACAGAGTCTATTCTTCTTTCCTTTGGGGGAAACAAACCCATTCTTGGTCCAACTGTAGGGTGCATTTTGGAACTTTAGTAATCTTCTTTTCCTCTCTGCATGTTTACATATACCAAGTGTGTACTGTGAATGTGGGGGATGACTTCTCCTTTAAAAAGTCTCTGGCAGTCTTAGATCCTCACAGATCAACAGCCTACACAGAAGACCCACAGAAATGAGACAATGGGGCCATGAAGCCAAGAGACAGTAAGGGCAACAAGTTAACAGAGCAACATGAAGCAGCAGAGCTTCTTCCCCTTTAGAGAAGCAGACCAGTCACAGATGGACAGAGTATTACAAGATTATGCTGTGTGACAAAGTCACTGCATTCCCGCAGGAGCTCCATAGGTCTAAGGCCAGATGGGATAATTTGTCTTACCCCATGACCCAGACTGTGGAATGCAACAAACACATTTTCTGGCTGGCTTCAGGCCAAATCATATCTCCTGCTTTTCTCATGTAGACGAGAGTATGCCTTTCACAGTCTGGCTCTAAATCATCAAAGCAGGTAGATACTTGAGCAGTGACTGCTGTGTTCAGGAACACATCACATTTCCTCTATATTCATAAGATAAAAGTAGATTTGGTAGAGCATGGTTCAAAACAATTGATATGGTCTCTCTGCTAGAAAAGTTCTGAATTTGCCAGGGGGTTCAAAATGCTATTTCACTTCATTGCGATCATGGATAACTGAGTACTGGTCATTTTATTTGAGGAGTTCAAAAACTCTAGGGAAGCCACAAAATCTGGTTTACTCTCTAGCATAATGTAGTTATAACACTGAGTAACCAAGAGCCACACGTAAACATGAGGAGGTGGAATTTCACACTGTGAGGTCAGAGTTATCTTAGCTTTTGCAAGTCAAGGAGAAACCAGAGGGCAAGAGAGTCCTTGTGTCTGTGGGTAACTCCTATTGACAGAAAATAAAGTCCATTACCCAGCCTTGGTCTGTTTCCCAAGGTAGCTCTCAGACACTAGAAATCAAGCACATGACAGTTCATCTCAGTTTACTCCTGTCAGAAGCCAAAGCAGCTCTCAACAAATTCCAAAGGACTGAGAGACACTGCTGAAGAGGTCACTGATGACATCTTTGGTTCAAAGATCTGAAGACATGTATTGTCAAGTTAGCAATACTTCCCACATTGATCTACAGACTCAATCCTCATTAAATCTACCTTGTATCTTCACAAGAATTGGCAAGCTGACCCTAAAATTCATATAAAAGTTCAAGGGACCCAGGATAGCCCAAACAGTCTTGAAAAAAAACACCAAAGTTGTAGAACTCACACTTCCCACATTTCAAAACTTTCTACAAAGTTACAGTGATAAAAACAGTATGGTATTGGCATGAGGAGAGATATACATATCAATGGAACAGAAGTTAAGAGTCCAGACATAAATGCTCTCACATTTATGGTCAGTTGATTTTAAAACAATACAGGTGATGGGTAGAGATGGATGAATGATTTTCTCAGCACATGATGCTGGAACAAATGCAATCAGCATGCAAAAGAATGAAGTTGGACCATTACATCACACCAAAAATATATATTTTTTATATATAAAATAAAACTCAAAATGGATCAAAGACTTAAATGTAAAAGCTAAAAGTATAAAATGCTTAGAGGATTACAGAAGTAGAAACCTTGGACTAGCCAATGGTTTCTTAGATTGACACCAAAAGCACAAAGAAAGAAAAAACTAGACAAACTTAACTTCATCAAAACAAAAACTTTTCTGCAGAAAGAGACTTCATGAAGAAAATGAAAAAGTGACATAGTAACAGAATGAGAGAAAATATTTGCAAATCATATATCTGATAAGGCACATACAGATAAAATACATAAAGAATATTATAACTCAATTATGAAAACATAGGTGACCCAATTAAAAAATGAGCAAAGTATCTGAATAGACATCAGATATACAGATAGATGAAAAAAGATATACAGACGGCTGAAACTAAACACAAAAGATGCTTAGCATCATCATTTATTAGGGGAATGCAAATCAAAAACTCAATGAAATAACATTTCATACCACTTGGATGGCTAGAATCAAAAAGACAGATAATACAAATTTTTGGTGAGGAGACACAAACCTCATATACTACCAGTGGGAATGTAAAATGGTGCAGCTGCTTTGGAGATCAGTGTAGCAATTCTTTAAAAGTTTAGAGTTAGCCTATAACCCAGGAATTTTACCCCTAATTTATATACCAAACATATACACCCACACAAAAACGTGTACACGAATGTTCTTAACAGTATTTCTCAGAATAGCCCCAAAATGGAAGCAACCCAAATGTCTATCAGCTTATGAATGTGCAAATAAAATGTGGTCTACCCATACCATGGAATATTAGTCAGCAGTCAAAAGGAATGAAGTACTGATATAGTTCCAATAGGAATGAACCTTGAAAACAAGCCAGGAGAAGGAAGCCACTCACCAAAGACCACATAGTACATGAATCCATACAATGTCAGAATAGGCAAATCAACAGACAGGAAGTAGATTAGTGGTTGACTAGGGTAGGGAGAAGGGAAAGAAGGTTGCCTGGTTCACATGAGTTGGGGGTAAATGGAGAATAAGTTCCAATAAGTACTACTGGGGTTTTTTTTATGAGGTGATAAAAATCTTCTAAAAATGATGGTGATAATGGTTGAACAATTCTTTGAATACACTAAAAACCACTTGATTATACAATTTAAATAGGTAAATTCTACAGTATATCATTCTGTCTCTCTCTACCTCTGCCTCTCTCTATATATAAATGAACACATATAAAGATATGCATACATACTCTCTCTTCCTATGTACACACCCATGCACACATATGAACATACACATACACGCACACATGCACATATATGAAGAGGTTGCCGGTTATCAGCACTTATCACCACTGTCCTCTCATATAATTCTCATAAGTCCTCACCCATTTTCAGAATTAATCTCAGCGTAACTGCCCTATCCCTCAGCACTTTCTGGAAGAAATCTGTGTATGGCAGAGGGTGCAGTAATGAAGAGAGTTGGAGATGCAATGGGAGAGCCTTGGTGCAAATCCCACCTTTCATGTTTACTGACCCTGGGGCCTTGTTCAAACCACTGAACTTCTCTGTGCCTTAGTTTCTTCAACTGTAAAAAGGACAAAATGATATTTTCTACCTTGCAGAGTTTCTGTGAGCCTGCCGTAAGTACTCAAGAAGCATTACTTATTATTATTTCTGTTTTTCTTTTTATAAATTTTTACTATGAGGTAAGACCACCATGACTTCATAATTTCCTAATGTCACATCTCTGGCATGGAGGCACAAGATTTTCCTCTGAAAGATGCACCTTTTCAAAATATGAACCATCACCAAAGGGGACAATTAGCTTGATACTACCAGTTTCTGTTTTAGAAGACAAGCTAAAAAACCATTTTGGAAGACACTAAAGCATCGTCAATATGGAAATAGTTCTGTTCTACAAATCTCTCTTTCTTCTCTGAATATAGATACACATATATTTAGATACAAATACAACATATACAAATATACATGAAAACACACACATACACAAATGACTACGGGTGAGAATTTTAAAAGAGAGTTTTGGTTCATTTAACTACCTCTATACCTGTATCCAAGTTTCACAGTAGTTGACACTCAATTGGCACATCAATAGTCAACATTTTATTTTACTTGCAGAAGAAATTGCTCATAAATATACCCAGTCCATTCATCCCAACATTCAATAACTTTCCTGGTGTATTCCCATTTGTAATTTTTCTAAATAAGCATTGAAAATTCCATTCATTCTTTAAGGCTTTGTTTTTGTTTTTTAGAATAAGCTTGATTTCATGTAAAAAAAAAAAAACAGGAAAAAGCAGGATCCCAATTTGCTTGGGCATTCTGTTCCCTCTCCTGAGTCTTTTTATCATAAGCAAAAATATGGCTCATTTTCCAAGACCTCTGTTAGTTTGATAAACTTCCTAGCTGGAACCATGAAGCCATATAAATAAAGAGAAACTTCCATCTTGTGGTTACAAAATTGGTACTCAATCGTATTATGAATTTTTATGACTTAAGTGTTATTGTAAGAAAAAGAAAGTTTTAAAACTTTCATGTATAGCAATGAATATTTTAATACTTGCATATTAACCATATTAATATTCAATATTTTTGCCTCACCAAGGTGAACTTAGTTATGTTCTTATGGTTTATTTCAATCATTCTTTCCTCAGGGCTCAAAAATATCACAGAAGGCTTGCTAAGTAAATGCTTCACAGAAATTCACATCCCGCCCCCCCCCCACTCCTGCCAGCCTGAATTCTGACAGTCTGACTATACATTAAGGCTCAAGATCAACTGTTCCTGAATGTTTCAATAAGAAGTCATTACTGGATTACAGATTAATTAGGCTTAGCAGTAATACCTTTTGGGTAAAAATGTGGCAGTTTACTGGAGGCTTTACCATTTTTTCTTCCCTGAAAGGTGACCTGCATGTGTTTCTCTAAAGTAGCAAGGAATGGTGCTAGGTGTAATTTGGCATGTTTCATGTAGCAGTCCTTGGCTCACCTGACCATCCAGGGAGGCAGCGGCAGTGGCCTGTGGTGGAGTGGCAGCCATCCGCATGGCTACAGTCACAGCGCTCCGCACAGTTCAGCCCGTATGTGCCATCCTGCGTGGAAGACAGCAATGAGGTCATGGAAATGCACAATTAGAGATGACAGGAACCTTGGTAAGCCACTTCGGATACAGGACCCTCTTCTCCCAAACACCTCTCAGCCACATGCATTATAATTACCTCTTCCCATGTCTTCTTGGTCCCCCAAACACAAGTGGTAGTGTTTGAACATCACTCAAATTGTAGTTCATGTCTAACATAATGGTTGGTCCTACGAATGGTGAAGCCAACTATGCCACTATGTTGATATATGTATATGCAAATATATATAGACACATTAATTAACCAAGAGAATCTCTTTTTATCTTATCATAAGCCACCACTCATAAAGAAACTTTCTTTTGCTCCTAAAAGATTTTTATAAAGTAGCTCAGTGTTCCTTACAAGACATGCTACTCGTTAGTGGAAAGGGAGGATCCTAACTCACATAAAGCTCTAAAATTAAAAGAAAATGCTAATTGAATGAAGTTCATTTCTGTAAACTGTTCATGTGATGAAAACAACCATAAGAAGCAGTGAAAATCTTCTGTTGCTTGTCCCAATCAACATCCTCCTTTCTATGCAGAAGTCTAAACAACATGAGTATCCTGATCTGAGATCCTAAGGAAGGCTGGAGTACTTGGTGGTACATACTCCTCCCTGATCTATTCCCAGGCCTTACTGTTTTAACCTGCATATCAGTTTTGGTCCAGCAGAGACAAGACTCTTTGTGGTCGTGATCATTTAGTTTATGGGAGGGGAATGGAAAGTGCTGCATTTATTTATTAACTTAAATTCAATTAGCTAACATAGAGTATGTCATTAGTTTCAGATGCAGTGTTCAATAATTCATCAGTTGCGTGTAACACACAGTGTTTTGCATTGCAGAGCCCTGTGCTCTCAAGCCAGATTCTGAGGAACGGAGGACCCTATAAACTTTTGGGCAGTGCACAATTACCAAGGGCGAGGAATGTGAGACCCAGCATAAAAGATGTTGTAGGTGTATGACAGCATTATCATTTGAGTAGAACTTAATAAAATAAAAATAAATAGGCCCCACTCATCTTTGCTGGGGCTCTATAGCATTTAGTTTCACCATAATATGAGACACTTAAAGCATCATCGGAGTTCACTGAATTTTCTAATGCATCTAACACACACACACACACACACACACACACACAGGCTTTGCTTTTTCTACAATCAGACTGGGAGTAAAAGATGCTCTTCAAGCCCATTTCAGAGCACTGATAATTTGTTCACTGGTGGATGAGAGGAAGCACAGCTAACTTTGTCCTAGGGGTTTGGAGAGCACAGAAAAGCCTAGGGAAATGTTGGGAAATGGGTTATACTTGATGAGGAGGAAGCCCAGGGGAAAATCGGCTCCCACCATGAGGGGCCTGGTTCAGGGGGTCACAGTGTCATCCCGCCATCTCTCCTGGAGGCAGAGAATGCACATTACTGAGAGAATGCTTAATGGCTCAGGAGGAAAGAAATGAGATAGGAGGAAAGAGTCATGAAAAAGAGGGCAAGAAAAAGGCCAAGGGCTTCTGAGGAAGAAAGGGAAATCACCATGTTACCGCAGAACGCGTGTCCCATTTGCAGCTTCTGTCTGCCTGCAGTAGACACGGTACAGGATTTATAATGATGATTCTCTCCAAAATAGGTCAGCAGAGTGGAATCAGACTTGAACTAGGGAAATCTCTGGAGATTCTTGGGGCTTGAGACATACTTGTGTTAATAGACGGCCGTTTCTAAACCTTTCACCATCTAGATGAGGGTTTCTGAAGACACTGGTCACCACCCTTTCAATCCTCTGCCACTTTCCACCCCAGAGACGGGAGGAATTCTGTGATAACGGAGACAGAATATTTGGAGAGTTGACACGCAGATGCTGGGTGTTTGATAAATATTGTTGACTGGGGCTGCCACGAAGAGACGGGTATATAGGAACGGAGAGAACAGGAAGGATGGCGGGGGAGAGGGGACCCAGGCAGAGATGAAGGGAAAGAAGGGAGTGATTCTCACAGAGCTACCTAACAAGTTTCCACATCTATTCCTTTTCCAATCTATGTCTGATTCGACTTCAGAGCCCTCATTTCTTATCGTGATTTTGTTTGGTTCACACTCGCATCCCTGAAATCAGGAAATCTGCCCCAGCGGGTTGACACTCTGCCCTCAGCTGGGGCGCTGGTTTGCGGGTACCTGGCAGGGGAGTTCACATTTGTCCCCGCGCCATCCAGGCGCACACGTGCAGGTCCCGTCCTGGGTGTTGCAGGCTCCCCCGTGGAGGCACTGGCAGGTCAGGTTACAGCTGAAGCCCCACGTGCCACTGGGACAGCTGATGGAGCAGTCCACCCCGTGCCAGCCTGCCACGACAAGAATGCCAGAGCATGGAGGAAATGACAGCAGCAGAGAGTTTTCCCAAGCCTCTCCAAGCCATGTTTCCCTTTAGAGACATTTTGGAGGTGCACAGCAGGGTCCCTCACCCCAGCACAGGGAGCAGTGGTGCTGCCGTGTAGTGCCTCCATCAGCAACAACCGAGGTACCCAGAATCCATCTGTGCTGTATGATCAGTCAAAGATGCCAGCACCAGGAAGCTCCACTGGGCTATCAGGAAGAGATACGGGGGTGGAGACACCCCTAATGTGCAGCGAAGCGCAATGCAGAACGCTGAGGGTTGCTCTGGGTGGAAAAGCGAAATATTTATATGGGAGGGTAAAGGAAGGTTTGTGTTTGAAAGAGCAACCCCATCTTTAAGGCAAACCCAGTTAACCACAAACAGTGAGTTTCCAGGACTCTGCCTGTTGCAGCAACTATAAATAGACACATTTTGGCATAAAATTGCATAAAATTGGTGCTCGGCTGCACTTCTTGTAGTGACTCCAAACCAGTCGACTTAGGAGCATGGATATATGTCTACTTATTCACTTTTACCCAAAGCATAGAGACTCCCAGACTTTTTGGAGCTGGCTGCAACCTTAGAGATCTTACCCCAATCCCTTCCCTTGGCTCACAAAAGCATGAGAGCCCACCCTAGACAAGGGGCTGGCTGAGTTTAGATGTTGAATGTTGGCACAGGTAGAGCTAGAACCCGAGTCAGGGTTTCTCTCTTATGACCTTAGGAGGTACCAGGATGAAGGCCAGATGAAAGATTTGTTCGCCCACTTACCTGCCTTGCAAGTACAAGACCCATCTACAGGTGAACAGACAGCATCGTTCTTACAGCCACAGAGAGAGGAGCAGTTTATCCCATAGGTTTCCAATGGGCATGGGATAGAGCAGTCAATTCCCTACACAGGCACAAATAGGAAAATGCATGCAATTTTATGAATGAAATAAGACCAACACAAATAAACAAAAATACATCTTGGCAATGCCAATTATTTCCCCTCTCTCATTTTCACACTTGTATATTTTTTAAGTTGCTAAATGTATCCAGTATACAAATTTTAAAGATTCAAGGCCAACGCTAGCTTGCCTGTTTAGGATACAGCACTTAATGGAACTCAAAGCCTGCTGCCTCATTAGCTTCCCTTCCTAGCAAATACAAAAAACCCTTTGTCTTTGCTCAGACAAGCAGATATAGAACAATAAACTATAAATTGTAGTCAATAAATAAATAAATGTAAGTATAAACTATACATTAAATTGCACAATGCTTCCTAGACTTCCTTGTACGATATATAATATGATTAGTGGGTGAAGCAAAGCAACGGAACACATACTCCACCTATAGCATGATTCAATTTGTTATCTGACAATAAACCTAAAACAAAGAAGTGGGCCACCAAGGATGACTGGAGGATATCTCCTTTAAAAACAGAAGAGACATGGTGTGCCTTGGTGGCTCAGTCAGTTAAGCGTCTGCCTTTGGCTCAGGTCATGATCCCGGGGCCCTGGGATCGAGCCCCGTCTTGGGTTCCCTGCTAAGCAGAGAGCCTGCTTCTCTTTCTGCCTCTCCTCCCTGCTTGTGCTCTCTCTCTCTCTCTCTCTTTCAAATAAATAAATAAAATCTTTAAAATAAATAAAAATAAAAACAGAAGAGCCTTAACACAGGCTAATTCAAGGGCTCTACCAAAGAATAGTGGCATAGGTTAGAAAAGCCAGTAAAGAAAGATCCTCTCAACTCTGAGGCTTTATCACCTACTCATTCCACATTATATGCTCTAGAATAACCACCAACATCTTCATCGGTTAATACTGCCCTCTTTCAAATGACAGAAAATAATCAAGACCAAACCATTTTTCTTTAAAACAAGGATTCCTAACCTACAGCTAAGAAATCCCAGAAACTAGGTAAAATCCTGCTCTGTTGGCACACAGGCCTATTTGCAAGGTCTGGATTTTCAAGGCACTGAAAAACTTACATACTGTTAACCATCACATGTAAATATATAATAAATGCTGACCCGATAATGTTATGTGCCTTCAAATTGCAAGGAGTTAAGATAAAAACCATTCAGAGTAATTTTGTGGAAAAGTAATTTCTTTGTTGTCTATATAATGTAGTAAAATAATTACATAAAGAAAAAAATTATGTAAGCAATAATTAAAATACATCATAGTCCATGACATATATGAATTAAATAATTAATATGAACACTGCCTTTATACTTTTACCCACTTTCCAGTCATCATTCTAAGGTGACTACTCATTTATTTTATTTTTTTTAAGATTTAATTTATTTATTCATGAGAGACACAGAGAGAGAGAGGCAGAGACATAGGCAGAGGGAGAAGTGGGCTCCCCACAGGGAGCCCAATGAGGGACTGGATCCCAGGATCCCGGGATCACTACCTGAGCCAAAGGCAGATGCTCAACCACTGAGCCACCCAGGTGCCCACTTATATTACTTATTAGTACTTTTCTCTTCATTCTCTTGCCTATTACTGAAGTGACAGATCTTAGCATATTCACTATACTTCAGAAAAGGTCATATACGGTATGTGGCATCAATATGTTTCACATGATACCCCTCGGCTCCTTCCTCCACAGCCACTCACTTTGAATCCTGGGGCACAGATGCATTTTCCAGTCACACTGTCACAATCAGCCCCGTTGTGGCAGCTGCAGATCTGTTGGCAAGCTTCCCCAAAGAATCCAGGAGAACATGTTTCGTTACAGTAGAGTCCTGACCAGCCCGGCTTGCAGGCACACTCTCCAGACATGGGGTGACAGCTGAGAGACATGGATGAAAGGAGAAAGTCACTCCCGGGTGAACATGACACCCAAGGCCCATGCAAATGTTGCTTTGGCCATGAGCAATGAATGGCTGGGTAATTCCATGCACAATAATTTAAACTGCCTTCCCAGGCTTGCTATGATTTAATTAATTGGCTGAAACCTGATTGGTACTACAGAAATGTTGCGTGAAATCAACATCATGCTCGAACAGGAAGACTATTACAACCGCTTCCTTTTGTCTGAAACTTGTTATGATCTTCATAAACTGAAAGCACTAATTCAGTGACAGGTCAACTAGATGAGAAGGTTTAAAGAACTACTCTGTCCAATGAATGATACCAGATCAGTTAACCAGGATTATGTCCAAGGAACTCCAAAGGCTGCAGGCTTCTTTGCCTGTTTGCATTCTCATTTCTCCATACCTGGTGGTGGAGCAGCTGTCTCTACCTGAAGCAGCAGCTGCATTGACAAGCCAGGCAGCCAGCTGTCACTCTGGAGCAAATGGACACATCAGCTGCGTTGAGAGGCGTGCGTTAGTGAGGCTGACACAATAGGGCACTCTGTGGCACGCAAAACACATGTGCTTCTTGCCATAGGAAAATCTCAACGGTCAAACTAGCTCTGCTTACAATCGGAAGGCTGTTAAAGACCATCTTCCTCCCCTGGTAGAGATAAATCTCTCCCATTAACTACAGCCAACAGCAAAATCCACTGTCTCATCCAGACATTTGGTATTTATCTCATCTACAGATTTTCTACTTTTTTAATTTTTTTTATTTTTTTAATAAATTAATTTTTATTGGTGTTCAATTTACCAACATACAGAATAACACCCAGTGCTCATCCCGTCAAGTGTCCCCCTCAGTGCCCGTCACCCATTCACCCCCACCCCCCGCCCTCCTCCCCCTCCACCACCCCTAGTTCATTTCCCAGAGTTAGAAGTCTTTATGTTCTGTCTCCCTTTCTGATATTTCCCCACACATTTCTTCTCCCTTCCCTTATATTCCCTTTCACTATTATTCATATTCCCCAAATGAATGAGAACATACACTGTTTGTCCTTCTCCGATTGACTTACTTCACTCAGCATAATACCCTCCAGTTCCATCCACGTTGAAGCAAATGGTGGGTATTTGTCGTTTCTAATGGCTAAGTAATATTCCATTTTCTACTTTTAGAAAGAATGATTTGCTGGGAGAGGAGAAAGCTGAGATAGAAGAGCTGGTCTCCCTCTATCCTGGTACCTCAGTGAAAGCACACAACCTCTTGAGCCTAATGTACGAGTCTGTCAAGGGCAGATCTCTGCCACACCTCTGTTGGTTGGACAGTTTGCTCCTTTGCTGCAACTAAATGCCCACAAGCAAAGGCCTAGGCATCCATCACAAACATTACTCAGGGAACATGCTATGAAGAAATACCCAAGTGTCACTCTACATTTAACATGGTTTCTTGGGTATAGAAGGTTTGGATTTGAAAGGCAAGTGTTTGAGTCTCAGATCTCCTTAGATCTATTCAGATCTAATCATCTGCTCCCTACTCTTGAGCAAACACGGGGCACCTTCATCTCAAACATAGCATGTCAAATACCGAGTCTTTGTTCTTCCTGTCCTGTTTACTCTCAATCACCCCACTGAAGCAATGGCACCACTAACCACTCGACTGTTTAAACCAGAAACCTCAGAGTTATTCCTGGTAACTTCTCCTTCATTTCCCATATCCACTTCATCACTAGGACCTAGTATTCTACCTCAAAAATATCCTGCCTTCACCTTCATCTCTCCATCCTCATCTTCACCATGCTCCCGATGCCTAGGGCATCTATCCCCCCCAAACCACAACAGCCTTCTGCCTTGCCTGCATTCACTCGTGCCTTGTCACCTAAAGAGTAGATGCTATCCTATCATTCTTGTTAAAACTCTTCAGAAACTCCCCACTACACTTAGAATAAAACCTGTGCTGTCTAATACAGCTACAGAGACTGTGTAATTTATTGTCTAAGCCAGGATATTTTCAAGAGTGAAGAGGGAATTACTCATGATTACATTAGAACAACAGGCCCTAATCCAAACAGTCCCTGTGACCCTAGAGATAACGTCATCCTAAATACAGCCCACAGGTCATTATTACCTGGCCACTGCCTACTTCCCAACCTCTTCTTTAGGTATTATTCTCTCTTTATTACTATGTTCCACTACAATGGGTTTCTTTTAGTTGGTGAAAACATTCAGCATTGCCAATATAAGGGCATGGCATGGGCTATTCCATATGCCTAAAATACTGTTTCCCCATTCTTTGCCTGGGCCTTTTCATTTTACCCATGGCTTCCTTCCCCTCTAGACCTCCAGCCATGAAGACAAGAATCAAGCATGTCTTGTTACCCATCCCTGGCCCAAAGTGGGCACACAGGAAATACTTATTGAGTTAGTGAAAATGGCAGTTGATGTACAGAGGGATCTGATTCTTAAATATTCCTTTCCCAATATCTCCGAGCCATCCAGCCATGCTGAATAATAATCTGTGTATCTGCACAGAAAGGCATCATTCACCCTAGAATTAGTTTTTGAAATGTCAAAGTTGATGGGATGAGCACTGGGTGTTATGCTATATGTTGGCAAATAGAACTCCAATAAAAAAATATACTAAATAAATAAATAAATAAATAAACAAAATATGAATAATAATGAAATTAAAAATAAATAAATAAAATATAATTATTATTTGAGAAACTATATGAATTCACTGAGAATGATCATAGATTTAGAAACTGTATATAGACATTTTCAAAGCTTTTGAGATTATTACTTTTTATATTTGAAAAACTATAATACTATAGTAGAGGAGATCATCGATGCTATGTTATTTTGAACAGTTACAGTTCAAAATATATAGTATACTATAAAACTATAGTAGAGTAGATCATTGATGCTATGTTATTTTGAACAGTTACAGTTATGAATGGCCTACATTAAAAATTTAACAAGAATTTGCAAATAAAAATAAAATGTCAAAGTTGTGGCTAAAAGGGAACCACCATTAATTGCAGGGAATACTCACTCACGTGACATTTCTGATGATACTGTAAGTCAATGCACAGTCTAGCAGCTAGCATTTACTGAGCACTGAATATGTGTTAGCGTCATGCTCAGGAATCCACATGCATTATTTCATTCAATCCTCACAAGTCATTCTAAGTGTTGGGTATCATCTCACTTTATAAATCAGGCAACAGTGACCTTGAAAGAGTAATTTATCCAAAGCCCTACATGGGTAGTAGCAGAATCAAACCTGAATACAGATTTATTTGTTTGTTTTTACACCAGAGAAAAAGGAAGTTTGTTCGCAGCCTGCTAGGGGGGGCTACATATGAAAAAGAATGGCTAAAATTTAAGAATTAGCATCGCTCAATGGGTTAGCAGAACCAATAAAACCTGTATTGTACAAAAGCAGGGACAAATTTAAATTTCCTTCAGAAAGGTCCAACATTTGAGAAAGGGGAGAGGAATATTTTAAGTGTGGATCAATGTAGCTTATTTTACTTTGACATACTATAAAAAATAGTAAAAAAAATTAGTAAAAAATATTACTTTACATTAAAAAGTAGAAACTCATATTCATGGTGTAGACACAAATGTTAAACAAAATAGACAATCCAGGGATAGGTAATTGACTAAGTTGTAGGCAGACATAGAAATTGATATTCAATGCCCCCCAGTGAGTATTAGTACAGCACACTGGTTCTCAGATTGATTGACACCAAAATTAGTATTCTGCAATTTGTAATTAGATATAGGAAGCCAGAGCACTTTGGAGGCATTTGATGGGTTTTCATGCAGGCAGCTTAATTGGCAATGAGATTTACGTGTTGATGTGAGTGCAGCAGATTGGAGGTTGAAAGGTAACATACTCCTACTCATTTTCTTTCTAAAGAACAGACTGCTTTGTGTATATGAAAATAGGATTACATGCAGATAGGAATACCTATCATTTCATACACATATATAACTAGATATAAACATTTTAGTAAAATTTTCATTTTAAGAGTTAAATTGTTGCAAGAGTCCAATGCAATATTGGCCAAAATAGATCGTAATCAAACTTCCTTTTATTCATTTACTTTGGTGCTATTAATGCTCATATGTAATGACAATTATGTGGCATTTGCAAATAGGTATATCCTTATTGCCCACAGCTATTAAATGTCCTTATTAACAAGAGTTAATATACATATCCCATAAGGAATCTTAATAAATCTTAATTTTGTTTTGCTGTTCAAAACCATTTCCACCATAAGTTAGTCTTTGGCTGAAAAGTACAGGTCACAGTGAATGCTTCAGGCTCTATAATAGTGCTATAATCAAAAACATGAATATCACTTATAAATATACTTAAATTCATTTCAGTCCTATGATAGATTGTAAAAGTAAAAATGGCTAAAAATTCTTGGCAACTTCTCTCCTATCAGGAGGTAGAATGTATTGAAATTGTAGCTGGTTGTGTGACCTGTTTTGTCCACAGGGACATCAGCAAACATGACTTAACCAAAAGTTTCAAATGTGTTTGCATGTTTGCGCTTGCTCCATCTTTTGGTGCTTTTGGAAGCCAGTCATCATGCAAAGAAGCCCAGGCTAATGTGCTAGCTGCTAAATACACATGGGGCAGGCACCCATTAACTGGCCAGATGCTGGACCAGTGAGGGAGGAATTCTAGGACCAATCTACATCTAGTTGATCTGCCAGCTGAATCCAGGAATGAAAGCAGAAGAACCACTGAGCTGAGCCCAGCTCAAATAGTCAAACAAAAAACCAACTGCAATAATCATTGTTTTGTACCATGATTTTTTTTTAATGCAGCAAAAGCTAACTGATACAAACTTCTACCCAGATATGTGGTTCCAATATATGTCAACATGTACATTCAAATACTCAACATTTACCTAAAGACAATAGAAACTAATAGTCTGTACTGCATATGTTATCTTAGTAATGAAAATGAAAGGTTTTAGGATAAATACACATCATAAATTATGTAATAGCAAGCTCTACTTGCTTGATTAAATAGAAAAATGAACAAGCTAGATTTCCGATTAATACAAAGATCCTATGCCTTTTGGTTCAAAGGAATCTTGTGTTTCCAAGAACTTTACACTGAAGTTTAAGGTGTAAGAATCAGATGTATGACTCCAACTGTGAATTCAACAGGACAGAGTCTTATCATCAACATTCAACTCATTTTAAAAGAAATTTTCAAAAAATTTTTATTTTTAAATTTTTTTGATTTTCAATTTTTTTCTTTTTTGCAAAAGCTAATTTTTAAAACTGGTTTTCAGGGAAGCACTTCATATGTTAATTGTTTTTAATCTGATTATTTGTTATACATTATTAGACAGATTTTAGTGTTCCTTTGAATCTATGTGAGTGTCAAAGAATTTCCCGTACTTCTTTGGTAAAGCATACCTGCTGAGATTCATGTGGCCTATGTCAAAATTATCAAGATACTGATGCCAGTCAACTAATAGTCCCCTTGGACCTTGCCACTACTAACATGGTACCCCATTCCAACAAAATCAACATTCTCTCTTCTTCTCCAGTTCTTCTCAAAACACAGCTCCTTTGAGTAGGCTTATTAATCTATTTGACATCAGGCTGCATACAATGAAAAGCACTCTGATATTAAAAAGTTCTTAGCTGTCACTATATGAGGCTTACCTTTTGCTGGGAAAAGCTTTACACTACAGGAAAGGTAGCCAAACTAATGACATGTCCCTACTCCTACCAGCTCCTTAAACATAGGAGAGTTGAAAAACAAACAAAATCCTGCCAAGATGATTCATTTTCACTCCTCAAATGTTTACTTAACCTTGTCATGTAAAGAGTGGCAATATTTGCCAATAAAGAAAACCAAAGTTGATTAAAGCAGCATGCAAAGTTGCTTGACATACATTAAGAAAGCACTTCTTTGATATGTCCCAGTAAAATATATTCTAAGCATGCACGCATGCGTGGACACACACACACACATACACACACATACACACTCTTTTATGGAACAAAGCCCTTTTTTTTGTTCCTAACAATGGCTTAAAGAAGAGACCAACCACAGGCTTCTGCTTACATTTAACTTTTGAGCATTTGAGATCTCAAGTGGCCACAAGTTATCTTTCAGAAGCATAAACGAAGTAACAGCTGTGCTGAATGCAATTAATTCCTGTAACATGTGAACTGCTATATAATGTACTACATTTCTGTTAGACCCAACTTTTCTAGCAGTCTGCAAATGAAGGCCCAGAATTCTAAGTGATATGTATCTGGTCCTTGGGGGAGGGAGAGGAAGAAAGGGGGTGGAGAGGTATTTTCAGGGGCAGACAAGGTATAGTAGGGTGGGTGGGAACCATAGTTTCCTGTTCTTAAATTCTTCAAGAGATTTTTGAGCTAAAAGACTCCTGTGAGTTTTATGTCAGAGTAATCAATTCTGAAAACATATTTCACATGAGACAGCCACATGTGAAACACTTTTACAAATCCTCCACCAGTGCACTTCCTTTCTCCACAGATGTGCTGTCAAGTAAAAGATGCTGCAGCAAGAATCATTTTTGTGTTATTTTTACGTACTAAACTGGACTTAACTCATGCCTCTCATTACATCTTTGCTTCTTAGGGAATGTCACAGAATCCCTCTCTTAGGGAAATGTTCTACTAACCCCAGTAAATTTAATTTTTGGCCATGGCCATGAATAGAGAAGAGAATTTAATAGCCACCCAAGACCATTTACCAATTTTAATGCTTCTAACTTGGACTGTCACCCAGTAAGGAAAGAAGTTTTCCATGCACTTGGTGGTTTCTCCCCAGAATGACCCAGGGGCAGGAAGGGTCTCAGAGTGGGCATCTCTCTGCCAATCCCTCCTTTCAAATAGTAGACACTGCAGTTCAAACGTTAACAGGACACAACCTTCCAGGGGTGGCCGACCCTCACCTATGAGTGTTGTCCAAGTGGCAGGGACACCGCTTGTCACATTTGATGCCATAGAGCCCTTCGGGACACAGGCGTGCCTCACAGTGCTCACCAGCAAAGCCTGCTTCACAGAGGCATGAGCCACTCACGTGATAACACTTCCCTCCATTAACACACTGGCAGGTCTCAGCACAGCGAACTCCATATGTGCCAACGGGACACTCGTCCTGGCAGCTACCAAGCAGGAAGTGAGAGCAGAAGATAGATTAGTTAATGCCATGTACAAATAAACAGTATACATACCAGAAAGATACCAAGAGATACCAGAAAAAGGAGAAGAGTAATTGCCCAAATGAGGAAACTAAAATATATGCTTCTCCTGTTTCAAAAAGAAAAACTTCATAGCAAATTTCAAACAATGTTAATTGTTTGGCTTTCATGGTGACATTAATCTCAGCCATGTGTCTGCTCTCTTCAGCGCTGAATGGCAATAATTGTTCCTCATTTAGAAAGTGATGTATTTAATAAACAAAGTTCTCTCTAGATCTGGGGAAGTCAGAGCTATTGCAATCAGGTTTCCTTGATTCCACCTGGAGAACTCTTGCCACGTGAAGTTTCTTTCCTAACACAAAATTTCTGTTAAGTGGGGTACTGTCCTCTGTTTAGAAGAAAGGCTGACAAATGGCAAAGAAAAAAAATGTCAGGTCTCAAAAATTCACTTTATCTTTTAAAAAATGACATTAGAGTCTGGTCCCAGAGGAAGGACAGGCTCTGGATAAGTCAGATCAGGTGGGCAGCTGAGTGGCTGGAAGGAATCATGAGAGAGGAGAGAAAATTATCATCACTCCATAGAATGCATGACAAGTTGTCGGGCCAGCCAAGTTTCTTTTTGACCCGGCAAGGTGACTTCCAGAGTGTCCTGCAACAGAAGGTGCACTTCCTGCCAAGGGAGAGAGAGATGGGGTCTTGTCTAGCCAAGCGGCTGCCATAAGTACAATACACTTTGTGGTTGGGAACCAGCAGACACTTCCCATGTGGCTCTCAAGGCACGCCAGACCCATGGTCAGAAATGTAGGTCAGCACTGCATTTTTTCAGATCAGTATAATGCAAGCAGCAAGTGCATAATAATGAATCCTAGGGTACCTAAAGGAAGTAGCAAAAGTGCTGAAAAGCAAACATTTTCGACAAGGCTTTGCATATTTTTAATAATAGGGTGTGATTAGTAATAATACCAAGTTTGAATGGGATTCTATTTAAATATAGATGATAAATCTTGAGATCCCTTTGACACTTCTCTGGTTAACCCTGACTCTAGCATATATTTAATGTAATAGAGACAAGGAAAGGGACCTCTTGTAAACTTGGTCTCACCTGACACTTAAGATATCTTGCGGTGTGTTTGTTAATAGGCAAAATCTTCAAATCAATTGCTCAACAAACCATTTGCAAAGTCCTGTAGTAACTACCCATCATTTAGCATAAAATCAGATGTGTGCTTTAAAATTACACAGGAGTATACCTATTTTTAGACCAGAGTATTTTAAAAAGGTACTCTATTTTTAACTTGTAAGAAGCTTTAATAAGCCAAGTCACTTAGTTTATTCCGTAAAGATGTCAACTTTAGAGAAAGAAATGCTGAGGTACAATAATTTGGCCACACCACGGCTCTGCTAAGGGCTGCTAACAACTTTTCAGCCTGTCTGTCCAGATTTTCTTGTGATTCAGTACCAAAAAGGAAAAGATAAACAAGGTAAAATAACATTGCTTTCTTTCTCTTTCTTTTTTTAAAGGTTTGATTTATTTTTTGAGAGTGGGGGGGGGGCTCACATGACCAGGAGGATGGGCAAAGGGGGCCGGAGAAGCAGGCTCCCCGCTGAGTAGGGAGCCCTAACATGGGGCCAGGAACCCGGGATCCTGACCTGAGCCAAAGGCAGACTCTTAACCTACTGAGCCATCCAGATGCCTGCTTTCTCTCTCTTATATGGATTTGAAAACAAATCCAACTGTTAAGCTTCGGGGCACATGATTTTAACCTAGTAAAAAAGGTTAGCTCTAAAAGTAGGTGAACTGAGTATAGATCAGAAGTCTGGAAAAATGTCTGCTGCCAAATAACAGGGAAGCAGTGTGTATATTTTATCCTATCTTGGCAGAGACTTCCTTTTCTTTGGGAAAACAAAATCCATAATAGCTGGTCCTGACCCATATTTACCTTTTGAACCTATAATAAAACATACTACTAGTTTGTATTATAAATGGCAAAAACCCATTTGAATTTCCCTCACTAAAGTAGCCACTACATAAAGCTTGGTTCATATTCTCCTTTCTTTTTCATCAAAGTTGCACATGTATGAAAATCCTGTTAATAATAGTTATGTCTACTTCCATCACCAAACCAAGGCAATAGGATATCTTTCTAGAAGTAAACATTTTCCATCTTGAAAATAAAAGCAATCATGAAGTAGCTTATACCTTTCAGGTTAGTGGTGTTAAAAGTCTTTGTCAGACTTATCTCCTCCCCTTTTGGCCCCTTTATCCAAAAAGGGCATCATTTCTCAACAAATTTTAAGCCCTTATTGTTTTTGTGACCACAGGCAGAACAACAACAACAAAAAGCTCTCCTAGGAATTAGTAAAAGAGGTAACAGATTTTCCTACGAGAGAGGGCAGAAAGGCTGATAAAGATAGAGCCATAAAAATCGGTCATAGTATAAATATGGAAATTTGGAATGTATACATTTTTTTAATTTTTGTTTTTGAGTAATGCTCTGGAATTGAAAAAAAATGGATAAGCTTTAAGTAGAGATAATAAAATATGACACCAATTCCCAAACCAGTGAGGGTCACAGGTTTGTTTTAATGCCATTTCGATTTTTATGTTGCATATTGTTACAAACAGATGGAAAAGGAAGTGACTTAGCATGTAAGGGGGTGGCAGCTCCTTTCTCTCTGCCCCATTTTGAGCATGTCCCTCCCTAGAGTGCCTGGAATAATTGGGCCAAACCATGATTTAGTGTGAAAGAATCACATTCCTCATTAAACCTGGGATCAATGGATCAGCTGCCTGCCTTTCAAGCATCTGGAACTGCTGCTCTGGGGGAAATATAAAAAGAGTTGGAAAATAGTTTTTCCATAATCCCCAATACAGGAAAGCTACCCCAATTAGAGACCAATGCTACATCCCCCCAATTCCTGTCCATCATTTCTGACTTTACCTCCTTTGGCCCACATTCCTTCTTCGCTTGCAGGTTATATGGAACACAGGCATGTCCAGAGTCCTGCCTTCACACCTTGGGAGGGATGATGACAGAGCCATAGCTCTCTCTAACCAGCAAACTCTTAGAGAGCACCAGTTCTGTGCATGGACCCCAAAGGCCTAAGCAATTCCATGGCACGCCATTAGCATTGAGAACACTCCTTTAACCCCTTTAGAAGAATTTCTATGAGGATCTGGAAACCATCTTCTCTTTCCTCTTGCTTGGTGGTGCCATATTACATTTCCTCTCCACAGTGTTCTCTCAACCTTTCCACAAACCCCAAGGACTATTATTTGGACGTCTCATGAGCTGCTCTGCCTGCCTACAAGGTGTCTGTTTTGTTTGTTCTGTTTTCACTTTGGCTGGAAGGGCCATGCCCACATCCTGGGAATGCTTTGCTGGCAGCTGCCTGTGGTGGTAGGTACCTGCTCCTCCAGCATCAGTGCTCTGGTCTAACCTCAGTGATCAAGTTACACTGACTTCTCCAAACACGGAAATGCCAAGACCCCAGGCCCTCAACGCTGCTTTCACCACATCTCCTGCCACAAAGTGCCCCATGGCCACTCATGTTTTCCTATCTTAGAGACGTGTGTGTGTGTGTGTGTGTGTGTGTGTGTGTGTGTGTGTCTAGAACCCAGATGGGGATGTTATAATTGAAAACACAAATCATGTTGTCAGTGCACTAGCAAAACAATAGTTATCAGAAGAGCAATTCAAGAAGAAATTCCCTCTTCACTTTTCTAGTCTTTTTTTTGGTTCTTTGACTTCCTTGCTTTAATCTAAAATTCACCTGGAAATTAGCAGCCACTCCCCAACCCTGCATTCCAAATAAGGGTTTGGAGTATAAGCTTGCCTTGTATATTTGTTGTTTCTTTGTTGCCTCAAATTTGAGATTTAAGCTATGACAGGATAAGAAAAATAATTATTCAGCTGGCCCTCAGATAACACTGGTTTGGACTGTAAAAGGCTTACATGGAGATTTTTTTTTGACACACAGTACTATGAATATATTTTCTCTTCCTTATAATTTCTTAAATTTTTTTCTCTAGCTCACTTTATTGTAAGAATACAGTACATAATACATATAACATACAAAATATGTGTTAACTGACTGTTTATGTTATCAATAAGGCTTCCTAAACAGTAGGCTATTAGTAGTTAAGTTTTGGAGGATTCAAAAGTTATATTTGATTTTTGACTGCATGGTGGGGGGGGGGGTCAGTGTCCCAAATGCGTGAGTTTTTCAAGAGTCAACTGTATTTAATTTTTTAGTGCCCTAAAATATCTGACAAAGCTATTATTTGGGATTCTGTGTGGTTCCATGCCTTTCTCTTCCTGACCCATTTTTTCAATAATAAAGTATTAATGTCATGTTATCCAGAACCCAGCTAACAACATCTATCCAAAACACAATTTTAGCTAGGACATAAGTCACAAAAACTTTCTAAGAAGCCCAATTACATATTACAAAAATCACACTGAAGGGTGTCATTAATGCGTAATGTCAAAAAATTAAAGTTAAAATCCCTAGTTCTATTAACAAAAGATGAAAAGCCTTTTAATGAAGTTCAACAGATACGACTAACAAAGTTCTTAATAAAAACAGGGATTAAGGGGCACCTGGGTAGCTCAGTGGTTGAGCATCTGCCTTTGGCTCAGGTTGTCTGTTTCTCCCTCTGCCTGTGTCTCTGCTTCTCTGTGTGTGTCTCTCATGAATAAATAAATAAAATCTTAAAAAAAAAAACAGGGATTAAAAAAACACTCAAACACAAGAAAGTTTACTAAAAACCAGTAACGTGAAACTACAATGGAGCCATTTTCAATAAAATCAGAAACAAGACAGGAATTTTCGCTTTGACCTCTATTTGTCAACTCTGATTTAGAGGTTTAAATTAATGCAATTATGTCAAAAAAATGAAGCAATTATTATAAACACTGAAAAGTATATACAAATATGTTTTGTAGATGATGAAATAACTATAGTTTTTGCTAAAAATAATATTAGAATTAACTAAAAGTTTTGATAGACAAGCTAAATAAAAAACACTCATAATTTTTCTTTATCCTGAAATAGCCAATTAGAAATAGAAATGAGATTTTCAACAAATTACTTATAAATTTAACAAGAAAGTACAAATTCTAAGTTGGGAGGTGGCAGGGGAGGGGGGAACCAGGCTATATGGTTATATGGTATCTTATTAAAAGTCAAAAAATTAGATCAGAGTTTTGGAAAGAAAAAAAATGAGGGAAAAAGGTTGAGGAAATTTTTAGGTCACAGATATCACTAAAAAACAATGATAAATAAATAAATAAATAATTTATTCAGTTCCCAGACATCACTCAAATTGATACTTGCTAGTATTAATACAGCTCAGGGAAATCACTCAACTATAAGAAGAACTAATGTGTGTAAGCTTCCTCACAGTTCTAATTGCTTTAATGTACTTACTGAATCCTGATAACAACCCAAAAGGACAGTAAAATTATTATTTGACTATTAATTATTATTAATGATAAGGATGTTTCTAAGGACACAGCTTCCAAAAATCTTACCTTACCTCTCCAGTCTTTTTTCTCTAATTTTACACACATACCCAATAAGCTTGGTTATCTGGTCTTTCAGGATTTAAGAGATGAAAGAGCAAATTACAAGGTGTCTGGGGTAACCCTTTACTAGCTAATGCAAAAAATGACAGCAGACAGAAGAGCCACATGAGCAGAGCCACGCATTCACTCTTTTTCACATGGAACTGGAGAGTCCTAGAAATCTCATTGGATCTTCCGCAGTCACCACTGCACAAGAAAATGACTGATATTCTTAATAGAATACTGTATCATAAGAAGGTAACGTTACGCCCAACATACTTGCTAAAGATAACCAGGTACACATCCAATTTTGAAATAAATCTATCAAAAAGTGTTTAAGATATAGAAAGTTTTGGTCTTTGAAGTGGCTGTCCAACCACTCGCCTATTTAGCTGGAGAGCTGATATTTTATTAATTTATTTTTTAATGCTTTATCCTCAATTCACCATCGTTGTCTATGGCTCACTTTCTACACACAGAGTTGGGAAAAAAATCTGTCAAATGCACTAATACTTTATAGATGCCTCTGGAATATTACAGAATAGTCACAGACATGTGGTAGCAAAGGTGTTCCCTGGGCTCTGCAAGCTTTCCTTTCACACCATTACGAACAGTCAGAGAAAGACAAGACTCTCCCTTACCGTTCCCCTGTGTATCCTGGACTGCAATGACATTGGCCTGTGGCAGCATCACACGTCCCTCCATTATGGCACTGACATTCTTGTGAACAGTTCTTTCCAAAGTGACCCTCGGGGCAAGGCTGACCACAGACTGTGCCCTGCATTCAAAGAGACTTAGAAAATTACATGGGCCTCCAGCCAGGGAAGGACCAAAGGGGGAGGGAAAGAAGAGACGAAACAGAAAGAGAGGAAGGCATAGGGGAACAGGGCTGCAAGGAAATTAGATGAAGGGGATTTTAGAACACATACACTCTGTTCATCATTGTAAAAATGTTCGACATTTTAAATGGTCTTCTTTACTCGGTCAGCCTATAGCTCAAGATACATTCAAAGATGGCAGAGTGATATTAAGAAACACCCATATTCAAAAACTGAAGTTTAAGATCGTTACATGAAATTATGATGGTAACCAAAGGATTTTATAAATCCTCCTAAGTGTTCTTCCCTGTGTGTATATGTCCAATAAGTCAACAATACTTATTGAGCACCCATTACATAAACCACAACATCTGGTGCAAATGGAATATCCAAATGTTTTACCATATGTTCTAAAGCAAATACATATTTTCATTGGTTTTATTTCTTATAAGGTAAAATGGAGCATAAGATGGAAATTTTGTATAACCAAATTAACGGTAACATCACCTAAGATAATAGCTCTATAAGAATGAACCTAGACATTTTATTTCAGAAGAGAAACACTTTTATTTCCAGTAGGTTGAACAAAATTTGCTGGGCCAAGATCAATATTGAGGCTTATTTCCTGGGAAGAAAAATCAAGAGAGTAACTTGGACATGTCTCCTTACCCTAGAGGCTGTCCATCTTGTCAGCCACTGTCATTATATTTATTCCAATTCTATGTTAATAAGACTAAGTACCAATAAGTCAATGAAATACTCTATGATTTTCTACTTCACTTGGCTATATAACTTGGGCTTGTAGCTTATCATCTGTTTATTGGAGTTATTGTTAGAACAAACAACATATCCCAAATAACAGGGATTTAAACTGTTTTGTTTTTTTTTTTTAACTGTTGCAAGCTGTTGCTTTGTCCTCTTTCTCTCTAAAAAAAGGCAGACTATGGGCATTCTGAAATTGGAGGCTAGTGAACACCAGATGGTTTTGTAAATGTTTATTCTGGATAGCGTAAGAAAATACATTTCCTCTAACTCCTGGCTACCCACAAAGGCAGTTGGTGCGCTAATTAAGTCTCCTCTGGTGGTTTCTAGCTATCTACAAACAAGGAAAGTTCTTCCACAGACTCTTGGAACTGAAAAAGCCTTTGAGAGATGATTCAAATCAATGCCTCACTGAGAATCATCTATGCGTCAGGCATAGAGCTAAGCTCTGAGAATCAAAGATAAGGTCACAACCTTTAATTAGTTCACAACACGGTAGGGGGAGGGGGTAGATGTAAAAATAGCTCTAATCCCTCCATTCTAGCACAACACATCAACAGGCCTGAAAAAATAGCATGCCAAGGGTCAACCTGTGGTAAGCAGGAGTTCTGGTGAAAATTTTCATTCTCTCAGGGACTGACTCTACTCATATTTGGTAGTGGTCCCACAACAGCTTCAGAGATGCTGTTGAAATATTGTTTGTGAATAAAGATTAATGAGAGCAATAGCTTTAAGTGAGACATTATTCTTATGAATTGAAATACATATGTGTGTATGTGGTAAAGGAATATAAATTCATCTTCGAAAAGCACCTGGAATGACAGCACAAATAAAATGTTGGAGAAAGAAGTGTAAGTTAGATGCTCAGCTATGCAGATAGAGAAATAACCTGAAGCAATCAGTAAGAAATGACTATCAAGGTAAGGAGCCCAGAGTATAGAGTAAGTGATGGAGGAAATGCTCCACCGGGCTGATGGATCCATCCACCCAGTTACTGGGATTCATAGTCCAAACCTGTGATTGCCAGTATCCCACATCACAATCACCCCAATCAAGAAGAAGAAAGCTTCAGTTTCAAGATGAGGCAACTCTACGATGTCTATACAATATTCCTAGCAGAGTATAATGCCTATAGCTCTTCATCCAAACAACATGGAGTTCTCTGGACCCTGGAAACTCTGCTGCCCCAACAAAGTCCTTCCCTTGCCAAGGACAAAACAATGGTCAACATTGGCAAAAGGTTGCATGTAAGAAATAAAGAAAAGAAGGACTCAAACACAATTTAGTATCTCTACCTTGAGCAACTACGAAAGAAATTTTAGTTTTTTCCTAAGAAACTAAGTTTTAACTAAGATTTTTAAAAATCTGAAAAGGAGTAGCCTTAAGAAAGGCTTGGGTGTATGACAACTTTGCTTCTATTAACTCTGACTTTGATGGGTCTGCTTGAGCCATCTCAGTACTACTCAATAGCTCCCTTTGTGTACCCCATCATCAGGCACTCAGTGAAAGGCCCCCTCACTCTGACTCCATTGTTTTATGGAGTTTCTCCAGGCTCTGCCTCTAGAACCAGACCTCGTGTCATCTGCTTACCTTTCCAACTTTCATCTTGGGTCTAATATCTCTTTTCCACCTGTCTCTGTGACCCTCATATCTTGAGCTCTCCCTTACTTCCTATGATTCTCACTGGGAGATAGTTTCCAGTTTTCTTTTGCTTCAGGACTACAAGGGCATTAGCAGATCCATTCATCCCAGGCCTGGTTCCTAAGGCTCCAGCTTGGGTGTAGCCCAGTCAGATGGTGGCTTCACATCTAAAGGTCATCTAGGTTGGGGTGTCTAATAGGATAGTGACAAACACATGTCTGGACCCAGGTGAGGGAAGGTCAAGATTTAGAAAAATCACATGATGAGTGTTAAAGCTATGGATCTAGGTGAGATTTCCAGAGAAGATTTATAGTGAGAAAAGAGAAGGATAAGACTGAAACCTAGGAAATATTGGAATAGAGTGGTATGGAGAAGAAGGGGTAGGAAAAGAGATCTTCAGTAAGAGAGAGGAAGGGGGGTCAGCAGAGACATGGAGAGAAAGATTATAAAAGAGGGAGATGGATGAGCAACAGGGTCATATGCTTTGGTGAAGCCAAGCAGAATGAGAACAAAAGGGTCATCACTGAATATGGTAATTAAGAAGTTGGTTATGACCCTACAAACACAGCTTTGCTACAGCTCCTAGAGAAGTAAATTGCTCTCTTAAATTTCGTTTGTTAACGAAGGAAACAGACATTGGCCCTTTACTCCTGTGCCTTTAAGCAGATGTATGCACAAACCAATACAGGTTAAGGATCAGTATCATTCCCTGGTTTCGGAGAAATGCGGTTAGCAAGCCAGTGTTGACATTGAGTGTGTTGCATAACACCTCACCTGTGAGGTGCTACATGGAGAAAGTGTAACATGGTCAAAGTTTGGGAAAAGGGGTGAGTTACAGCTTCCTCTTAGATTGTTGTACTGAAACTTTGAGAAGCTCTGCAATACTTGGTAAATGTAGTTCACCTCAGTGTGTCTCTGGATGGGCATGACGGTATAATTTTTTCACATAACACTTACCCCGTTGAAAATAATGTTCTCAAAGAACAATAGTGATGCACAGAACTTAATTATAAAAACAGTTATATATTATTCTATTGTGCTTTGCTTTATTGTGCTTCACAGATACATTGTGTTTTTTTGTTTTTTAAACAAATTGAAGGACTGTGACAATCCTGCATTAAGCGTGTCCTTTGGTGTCATTTTTCTAACAACATGTATTCCTTTTGTGTACCTGAGCCATGGTAATTCTGGCTCAGAATTTTCAAATATTTTTTAAAAATTTAATTATTATTATGTTTGTCGCAGTGATCTCTGATCAGTGGTCTCTGATGTTTCTAATGTAACTGTTTTGGTATCTACACTGGTTTTTTAGACATAATGCCATTGTACTCTTCATAGAATACAGTACCTTAGTAGTAAACAGCTTTTAGTGTACTAGTTAACCTAAAATTCATTTGGCTCACTTTATTGTGATATTCACTTTATTGCAGAGGTCTGGAGCCAAACCCAAAGTATCTCCCAGGCAACCTATGTTTAGATACTTTCAGGGCTTAACATTGTCTGTCACCTGTGAGATGAGGTTTTCCCTCTTTTTTGTCCCGAGGGAAAGTTCAGGACAGATGGCCACTATGTTTTACATGAGGACCTTTAGTGCACTTCAAGATTGAATCACCTTCTGCCTGAAAATGGACTTAAGGACTCCAGCTTTGAAAATAGTCAGCTATTTCCAGTTGTGCAATTTTTGACCATCAATGTAACTTTTCTTTGTACTAGAGTCTTCCATGTGCATTTTCACTTGAGTATCCTGGAACAGATGGCTCTGGGAGGGGAGGAAGGGAGCTTACCAGCCAGCCCGAAGGGCAAGAGCATTCTCCGGTGACGTGATGACATATTCCTCCATTTTGGCAGGGACATCTCTGCTCGCACTGCGGACCGTGCTTGCCAGGGGGACAAAGGTCCTCACAGCTGAGGAATTGATGTGCGACAAAGGATACTGTTATTTACCCAAACTCGCAACCCTCAGGTTCACAGACACAACAGTGCCCAGGGCCCTAAAACAGGCAAGCTTTCTCTGCTCGATATTCTTCATTTGGTTAACATCAAAGCATTAATCATATTAGCTGGAAAACTCTTTGAGCCCTTGCCTAGACTTTTCCCTTCTTTGGGGGTATTTTCTAGTGAAATGATTTGAATTTGGAGAGAATGTATCCTATCTGAGAGTGCCAATGATGACTCTTCCCAGCCAAACACTCCTTGGGGACAGGGTCTCCCCATGTAACTATTAGAAAGCTCCTGTGTTGCATCCGAGGTCTGCTTTTGTTTGTGGGATTGTTCAATTCTCAGAAGAGATGGAAAGGTCTGCATATCCCCTCCTTTGTGCAGAGATTCTTCATAATTAGTTTCCAGCATTTTCTTCTTGAAGCTGATCATTTTCCATGCCCTTAGCCCCCATCCTTTTCCTATGAATGAAGTCTCTTCTCTAAGCCTTTAATTGTCTTGTTTGCTCTCCTATAAAACTGCTCCAAGTTTTCCAAAGCTCTACTCAATTGTGTCCTTAATAAAAGCCCATAAAAGCAATATTAACAATTAAGTAGTTTGAGATGATCATTCATTCTTCTGGAAATCAGGGCTTTCTAGGCTAATGCAGTTTTTTTCTTTAGTTCTACTTTATAGCTGTTAATACTGTTGGCAGGAAGTATTTACCTAATCAGCTGCATTTTTTCAAGTTTTAGTTCTGTGATTTACAAGTGTAATTTTCTCAGTAAGGGAATGAGATTTTTCTCTTTCCTACTTCTCTTTTTTTTTTTTTTTTTTTTTTTTTGGCAAATTCTGCCTCTTTTTCTGTTTGCTAATACAAGCCAACGGAAGAAATGTCCTTCACACAAAATAAAGTAGTGGAGGTTAAGAAGTTGCTTCAATAGTATCCAGAAAGAATTAAACTATTTCTGTGCACATATCCTACACAAATGTGATACATTTCATTGATGGTCACAAAGCAACATATGTAGCTACAGGCATTAAGTAACCTAGTTAACCTTTCATCATGGACTATTTCTAACACCTTCCCCTTTTTCTCTTTTCTATGGCACTGAACCCACCCAACTTTAACCAGTTAATTAGCTGCCACACAGAGCAGAAGAACATGGCCTGTTAACAGCAATGTAACATAAACGCAACTGTGGGGGAATCCAAGCAGAACCTCAAATCTGCCTCTAATGACTCCCAAATATTACCACTCAATGCAGCATCCTGGTCCTCTCTATCTCTGCCCTGCCAAAAGGAGAGCATGAAACCTGGCCCTTAGACTCTGGTTAGAGTCTGATGTTCAAGGGTCAAACAGCAGGAGCATCTCATGGCTGTCACTACTGATCATCCCCTCTGTGCCAGAGCCCCACCCTCTCAGAGACTTCAGGCAGCAAGGAAACAAAAGCCTAGGAATCTGACAGTGGCAGCAGCATGAATGGAGAAGGTGAGCGGACTTTGCCATGCTGCTAAGCAGCATGTCACTTACAAGGCTCCAGTGTACCCTGGTGGGCAGCGGCATTCCCCTGTGACGTGGTCGCAGGTGGCTCCATTCTGACACTGGCATCTCTGGTGACAGTCATTACCGTAGGTGCCCTGCTCACAGCGGTCCTCACAACGCCAGCCCCGGAAACCTGCAGCGCAGTGGCAAGCCCCCGTGATGGGGTTGCACAGGGCCCCATTCTTGCACTGGCACCGGCTGCTGCAGTGGGGCCCCCAGTGATCACCATCACAGGCTGCAGGGGGAGAAACAATGGAGGGCATCAGAGTGTGGATGCAGGCAATAGCAAGCTCTTCAGAACCAACTTGCCTTTGCCCTTGACAAGAATGGCTTGGTGTGCCAGGGTGGCTCAGTGGGTTAAGCACCCACTTTCAGCTCTGGTCATGATCTCCGGGTCCTGGGTCCTGGGATTGAGCCCTGTGTTGGGCTTGGGCAGAGTGGAGGTGGTTTGCTTCTCCCTCTCCCCTCTTCAGGCTCACTCTCTCTCTCTCTAAAATAAATAAATAAAATCTTTTTTAAAAAATCTTAAAAAAAAAACCTAAAAAAAAAAAAAAAGATGGCTTGATGATCCCTTCATCACCATTCCTTAGCTGGACATTGGGCTCTGGTACCAACCCATGGCAATGCTTCATAAATGTGTTCAGCACTAAGTGAGCCACTTCCAGTCACTCCATTGCTTGCTTAAGCAGTGCTACCATTCTCCACCTTCATGCCTTGTTGAGTCTTGTTTCCTGCATCTGGAGTGCTGAGTTTGATGTGGCTAGAGTAATTGGCTACAGGAGGATGTAAGCAGTGTGGGGGGTGGGGGAGAAGAGGCCAGCTACCCAGATGGGAAGGTTCAGCTCAGCTCAGAGGAGGGCTTTAACACACTAAGGAGTTGGATTGCATCTTGTGAATAAAGGATTGGTCTGAAAGGATTTTTTTTAAAGATTTTATTTATGTATTCACGAGAGAGGCAGAGACACAGGCAGAGGGAGAAGCAGGTTCCCTGTGGGGAGCCCAGTGTGGGACTCGATCCCAAGACCTCAGGATCGTGACCCAAGTTAAAGGCAGAGACACTCAACCACTGAGCTACTCAGGTGCCCTGGTCTGAAAGGATTTTAAACAATTAGGAACAATGCAGATTTGCATCCTAGTAAGGTCAGCTGGCTACAGTCTGAGGAAGAGGCAGGAAGGAGCTCACAGCAAGAGGCAGGAAGACTTGCCAAGAAGAATGGCAGCAGATAAGACAATAGGGGAGACTCAGGGGCCTGAGCTCAGGCAGTGATGGGGAAGACCAAGAGGGGTCCTCCAGGCTGATCTACTGCAGCATGGACTGACCCTGCTAGGGGTCTAGGCCAGAGCAAGCCAAAGGAAGACTCCCTATCTGCTTTCATGGTATCAGCCAAAAGACATGTGGATTGGGAGGTCATCAGAAAAAAAACAAAATAATTGAGTCGAATATTGAAATTCACTGACTACCCAACAATAGGCATAATCTCAGGTTGTGAGATCCAGCCTTGTGTGGCAGTTGGCAATTCTCCCTCCCCTCTCCCCTCCTCCGTCCTCCCCTCCCCCCTACCTCCTCACAAAGGTAGGAACTCAAGCACTCTTACTCTCTCCCCCAAAAAACAAAAACAAAAACAAATGACAACAGGCATATGAAACCAGGTAAGATGGTAATAGAAAACATCATTTGAGAGATAGAGTTAAAAGTACAGTTCCAAAGAAAAGGAAGAGTGGCTGCAATTCAAGTTTATAAGCAGGAATAGGGGAGCAGGAAAGGAAAAATCCTCAATCCCAAACATTCTAAAAATTATAAAGGGTAATGATAAGCAAAACCAACCCTTAATATTCATTGCCTAGCTAGTGGCATATTTATTTATTAATTAGATGCTATAAAAATCATTAGGGAAGATGCGCTGTGCCTGGAGCTCTTAGGATAAAATGCTTTTATGATTTAAAAAATAGTTTCCCGTCATAAAAATTTTGTAACTTCAATAGATGCAGATAAACTATTGAAAAAAAAAGAAAGAATAAATGAATGAAAGAAAAGAAAAAGAAAGAAAGAATAAATGAATGAAAGAAAAGAAAAAGAAAGAAAGAAAACCAGACACATAACAAACAACTTATTAGACATGCAGGATTCATCTCCCAACATTAGAACCTACCTTCCTTTTCATAATATCAAAAGGTTTAAATGAATAATTTTGTTTTAAGTCAGAATGGCTTTGTTCTCATTAGTACTTTAACAAACATACTTTAACACAATTAAAAACAATGAGAGGATTACAGAACCTAAAGCAGATGAAGAAAGCAATTACCTAAGAACTCACAATCTTCTTAAACAGAATAAGATTAGGTAGTAGTTCTGAGATTTAAGCCTAATTGTTATTCATATAGTTGCTTCTTTTATTGCCTATGAATATGGTCAAAGCATTTTTTTTCAATTACAACTCCTTCAATCTAGGATATATCCTTTGGGAGAAAAAAAACAGAGTATGTTTTTTTAAATGCCCTTAGGTACCCAAAAACAGAAGAATTTCTCCTGTGTTTAAAGTAAGCCCAAATAAATTAAATAGTCCTTTGTAACTTGTTCCCTGGTTCATCAATCCTAAGAGTAAGGAAAATCTTCATTCCATTTAAGCTAAATCTGTTATCCTAGAATCTGATCCTTTTTTTCTCCTGTGCTTCTCATGGTGTATCTGATGTGGTTCATCACTGTTCTCTGTATTATACAAGATCTTATTCTTGAAACGTGAATGCATCCTTGACCCTGTTCCTTGCAGGCTAGATTCTCCTTGCAACTTTTACTTAATTTTTATTTATTTATTTATTTATTTATTTATTTATTTATTTTTAATTTATTTATGATAGTCACACACACAGAGAGAGAGAGGCAGAGACACAGGCAGAGGGAGAAGCAGGCTCTATGCACCAGGAGCCCGACGTGGGATTCGATCCCGGGTGTCCAGGATCGCGCCCTGGGCCAAAGGCAGGCGCCAAACCGCTGCGCCACCCAGGGATCCCAATTTTTAGAAGTCTATTCAATTTCACTCATTTTCTTTGCTGAACCTTCTTGAAAGGTTCCATATCCCTCTCGACTTCTGTGAACCTAAGATACTAAATGAAATACTCATTTTTTGTAGTGTATCATGGAGGATTAACTGATTGACACAAAAAAAAATTTTAGCTAATAAAACTACCTTGGTAAGGACATCCAGATCATGTCAGAAGCATTTAGAAAGAAACAAGTTGGTGGGTTAGAGTTCTTTTTCCCCACTGTGACACTGGGATAAGGGTTGACTGGTACACAGACACTTTACAGAATATGTTTTACAATATCAGGAGAGCAGTAGGAACAAGTCAAGGTATCAGGGGACAAAACTGGTCTCTCTACTTCCTTGTGACCCATTTCCACATCACATTCAACAGCTTCTCTTCCAGAAGAGCAGTCAGGCAGAGACCGCTTCTATTTTCTTGGAGTTAGACAAATGCAAAAGAAAAAAAAAAAAACAAAACACAAAAACCCTTAGGATACCTCCTCAGGACAGAAACAAGTTCATAGCAGAAATTGATAACTATCAGCATCAAAGAAAGTGTTTCAGGCTTTTAGGGAGATATTATGATGCCGACATGGTTAATTTCCTGGCCATATCTAAGCACTGCGGCATGCTTTGAAGTGACAGCTTCTCTCCTTGGGGCTGTGTTTCCCTAAGAGGCCACTGATACATGGGCCTCACATCTTGAATACCAGGCATCAACATAAGCTACGCTGAGGGAAAAATCCACATACAAAAGTGTATAGACAAATAAGCAGGAAGTAGAACAAGTGGGACACAGAAGCCTGGCTTGAATCTAGGCATCACTGTGACTTCCTTTCCTTTTTTCATTTGTCATATTTAACTACTGCAACACATCCCTTTTTACAGCTTATCACACAAAAGCCTGTTTACTACAAACACAAGAGTTTGTTGACTATCTAGACAAGATGCAGAATTTGTTCTTTTTGAACACCAAGCTTGACCAGTTATCCCGAATTCACATACTGTGTTTGGAAAGATAGTGTGGAGACTGTGAAGTCAAATCACTTCACATCTTTTACTTAACACCTCACTCTAATCTCAAGGGGCAAGTATTTCACTCCTGAAGAAAAAGTGCCTGAATTGGTTACTGTCACTGGCAACTTGAAAGTAGTTTACATTAAAATGGCAAGAGCTTGAATCTTCTAATAGGAAAAGATATATATGAACCAACCTTTGTTTCAGATTAAACTGAAAAGAACTCCAGTGTACATAAGGGATTCATTTTCAGCTTCCGGCTGCATCTCTTGCTGAGTTGTGCTAACTGTTAGAAATGGACTCTCAATGCAGCATATCCAGATTCATGCAGCTATTTCAGGGGACAGATTAATGAGGGTCTCAGGCAGCACAGACAGTGTGCTCTAATAAGCACTCACAATCAGATGGAAATAAGAGGAAGTTTAAACTACTGTGTAATATCAGAAGTATAGGGTTCATGCTACAACCCTTAGTGACAACTAGTGGAGCACTTGATCCTCACAAGACAATGGACTCACCTCGGAGCCCTTATACCTACAACGTTCAGTGACACCAGTAAGTACAAGTTACAACAATGGGTAGGTACTGAATTTACTCAGTTTTATGTGTCAGCCATAGTATGAGGCTTAGAGTTCAAAGGAAAATGGTAGAATCCCTGCTTCTAGAAGCTTATAGGTTAAGGCAGAGGCCTTAAGTAATTAGACAATAAAACACCCTGAGCAGTAGGGTAAGGATATGGACAAGGTATAACAGAAAACACCAGGATGAACCCTAACCAGTGTTGCTAAGTTGTACAAGGCTTTCCACATAAAATGATGTCTAAGCTAAGACCTAGAGGCAGAGTGTGCCCTATTTAGGTAATGGGTGGAGGATTTGTAAGTAGAAGGAGGAGCTCCTGAAAGTGAGGGAAGTTGCAGGAGGTACTACATTCAGAGAAAATGATACATAAAACAGAAGGCTTTGAAATGCCCATGAATGCCTTCTTCTATTGCATCATGGCCACTATCCTCTTCCTGTACATCAAAAGAAGTCAGTATAGAAATGAGTAGACACGGAGTGATGTCAGACATGCCCTCCCCCTCCTGCAGTCCTCCCCAGTCTTCCAAGCTCAGCTCAGAAACCTTCTCTGTCCATCAGGTACATTTTTTTCAGATCCGATCTCAGATGCTCTCTGAAAAAGACATCAGTATATATT